TGTCTAGTAGGTAATGTGCGGATTATCTAGATACTCTGCACATTATCTAGGTAATTTGAGAAATGGAACAATTTTCACAACTTTAACGGATCACCCTAGTTAATCTGCAGATTAGCTAGGTAATGTACACATTAACGACTTTCGAGCTTTAGCGGTAACATATTGATAACAAAAATTTATAAATACAATACGAGGTAGCATTATATTGTATTAATAAATTTTTGTTATTAAATTTAACTTAAGCATATTTAAATAGGAAACACGACCCGGTCTTGCAGAGTGGCTTGTTCAGCAACAGGTGCAATTGAGTTCGAAATTCTGTTCGTGAACCGAATTGTTCGAAAAGAGAGGCATTCGAATGCCGAGGTTTGACTGTATATATAATCTCCTACGTATTAATAACGGCATCCGAGAAGAATGTGGAAGCAACGAAGCCTAAGAGGAAGATTGTAGTATCGAGGATTGAGGTGGAAAAGGAATGTATCGTGAAACATCAATACGTGTGGCGGATCTGGCAGCCATGTTTCTTTTCTACCATATCTCTTGCAAATAATCCTTGCAAATAACTAACTCATTTTCCTTCCATTCCTCTGCTGTCGATTGATCTGGTTTCTTTTCTATTGTTATTACTTTTCATGTCAACACGTATACACTAAAAATGGTAGAATGATGCTAGAGAATTGCAGCTAAGGGCCAATAGATAATCCGAATAATTCTGGATTTATTTCCATTATACAGAAATCCTATCAACAAAACATAAATAATATCTCTCTGATTCAATCCCGAATGATGTGTATTTTTACACTTTGTTGTTGTTAACTTATTGAAAGTTTTTCCTTGTGAAATATATGCAAATCAAAATGTAAACCTAAAACACTGAACAAATAAAACTTTCTGTATTTTTCGGCAAAAGATTTTGTATTCTTTTTTCTTAACTCCAATATCGAGCAATTTTCCAAGAATTGCTTTTAAGATTAATTTGTGAAGATAAGGAACTTGTTAAAATCTGTGAATGCAAACATATGGCAATAAATCAATCAATGACTTCTTCACATACAAGTTAATAAACTTCGACTGTTTTACGAATCTAAGTACGGTGTGTCCCATAAGTTACACACCGTAGACAAAACAGCTGTTTGGTTGTGTTCCATGTGATTGCCGTCTGTTATACAGATTTGGACGTGCGGAATTATTGGATCAGCCATCTAACAAGACGTCAAAAATCACGGTCTGACATTCATGTGTAATTCTGGCCTCCAAACGAGTGAGGCAAACCTTCAAGTGCCCCTACAGATGTGAGGGCAGGACTACCCAAGGGCCATTGCACATTTGTCTTGCATCAAAATTCAGAAAACCCATTACATTACAGTTTACCTATGATGCATGGCTTATGGGACACACCATATATACATTCTTAATCGAAAAAATGAGTGAAGACAACTGTAACCATACTCTGATCACAACACACAATAGATATTATCTGATTACAATAAACAAATTTTACTGTATAAATACAGTAAAATATTACACAAATTTAAAATGTATATCTTAAATGTCTTTCTCTAAATGATCTACAATAAAGATAATTAGGGCCAAATCATAACTGTTAGAAACAATATTGAAACATGGCATGTATTTTACTAGTTTTAGCATTGTATTAAAAATGTACAATTTAGCATGCAAATCCTCTGTGCTGTACTGTACTGTACATACTAAGCTAAGAATGATAATGTATCTAATGTCACACAAGTGATCAATAGCATTTCTGAAAATATAACATTGGAAACATCTCAACTTGGCTAGGATTAATTTAATATTTAATTATGGATGCTTGTATCAATTTACACAGGGTGCCCCATAAATCCATATCCATAGGAGTTATGTTGATCTATTGTTTTACAGGTAAAGTATGGTGCTGAGAAAGGTAGAGAGAATTCAAGATATTTTGCAGATGGAGACCTACAGTCAGTGAGAAGTTGCCAAACAGTTTAACAGGCTGCATTCTGATCTGTGTGATTCATTGGAAACTCTTTGGCAACTTCTCACCAACTGTAGGTCTCCATCTTCAAAATAGCTTGAATTCATTCTACCCTACTCAGCACCATGCTCTACCTGTAAAACAATAGATCAACATAATTCCTATGGATCCAGACTTATGGGACATCCTCATCATCATTCATTCCTGCTGATACCCAGAGGGTGTACAGGTCAACATGGTGAAAAAATCAAACTTTTATACTACTATCTCCTATTTTTTTCCAAACTCTCCTATCAACAGACAAGTTTTTATCCTAGATTAAAGTTAACTTCCATTCTTCTAAAGCCTGCTTAACACTCAATCCACCTATGTCTAGGTCAGGCATGGCCAACATATGGCCCGTCTAATGAATTTATGTGGCCCGCAATCAATCTTTCAATAATAGCTAGTTAAGTCCGAACAGCCCAAAGAAAAATTCTGGCGCCTAAAAAAGAAAAAAAGGTCAACAACTCACTGTGCGTTTAGAGTTAACACTCCATTACAAATGACTTCAGCACAGCATAGAATGTTGATAATGCATAATAATATGAAAAATGTATCTGTAATCCCTATGTACAATTTAGTCTCTATGGGGTAACACCACAATGATGTCTCGCACCACTTCAAAATCTTCCTAGGGCAGCCTCTGGTTTGGCTTGTGAAAAAGTTCACTTTTCAATTCAGCCCGGGGGCAAAAAATGTTGGCCACCCCTGGTCTAGGTTGTCCCTTTGATGTTTTCTCTGATTTTTAGCTCCGAATACCTGTTTGGCCAGTTAGTCTTCTCCCATTCTTTCCAAATGGCCAAATAACCTGAGATTAGCCTTGCTTACTCTTGACTGAATATTTGTCTAGTCTTCTCTAGACAAGAAGTATATCATAGTATTCATTGGATATTATGAATATTTGTCATCTTTGTTTTTCCTTAAGTCTTCATTTTTAATATGATTTTGCCATTATCCATCTAGTAACACCACTATTAATTTTTCTGAAAACTCTTTTCTGCTGCTTCTAATTTTTGGTCAATTTCCTTATTTCTCAGAACCATATGTCATTATAACTTTAAAAACTGTTGCACACAGCTAGTTTTTTCTTATGACTTATTTCTTTCTTGTTCCAGATATATTTGATCAATTAGGCAGGTTAGGCTCCCTGCCTAACCTGCCTTGTTTAAGCAGTCATCTGAGCAAAATTTAAAATAAAAAACTGGATAATGAGATTTATCTGTGCCTATGGACCTATTGAAAGCTCAAAGAAGGAAGATGTAGAATTTTATGACCTGGAATCAGCAGTAGAGACAAATACTAATGAAAAAAAGTAGTAGCTGGAGGTCTTAATAGTAGAGTAGGAAACGACAATTACATCTATGGCAGCATTTTAGGGAAGTTTGGTGAGAGAGAAAAACCTAACAATAATGGCAAAAGACTGCTCCAGTTTTGTGTTTGTCACTCACTAGTGTTTACTAGTACAATATTCCAACACAAAGAGAGTCACAAATTCACATGAGAACACACTAGAAATCTGATAAGCATAATTGACTATATTATTGTTGTCAAGAACATTATCCATTTAGTTAAAGACACAAGAGTCTTTAGAGGTTTTGAAGTTGATAGTGATCATCATCTTATACTGAGCAAATTAAAAACAGTTAATATTAGATGTAAAAAGGTACTTTGATAGATAAAAATAGAAAATTTATCAATCTTTCAAATGCCATTAAATATAGAAATATAGTCAATACTGCGGCTAATAACATATCTATTACTGAAATGGATTTAGAGGAGGAATGGGAAAAATTCAAGAGAACATTGGTAGAATCAACAAAAATAGTATGTGGGGAAATCATTTGCAAAGATAAAAATCCATGGTACCAAATGAACCAAAGAGATTACACAAGCAGTACAAGAGAAGGCAGCTTATAAAAGATATCTAGTGAATAAGACCATAACCAATCTATTAGATTAGCTGTCTTACATTTAGCTTTATAAACTGCATGATGGGAAAATTTTGGAACAGAAATAGAAAGCAAGTATAAAGAGGGGGATAAAATGTTCTGGTGATTAGTAAAGAATCTCAGAACAGCTAGAGGAATAAAGAATGATAAAGGTGAAATTATAACATAAGAAAAAGATATTCTAAGGTATGGATCAAATACTTTAAACAGCTACTGAATGAAGGAGTGACAGATTTAGCCAAACAAGAGAAAAGTACCAAAATTTTGGAAGTATCGGATCCTATCTTGGTTATAGAAGTGAATAAGACCATCAAAAGCATCAAATGTGGAAAGGTTGCCGGTGTAGATATCATCAGACCTGAGATGCTAAAGTATGGGGGAATAACAGTGGTACAGATTACATCACATTATTTAAAGATGTTGGTCTGAAGGAAAGGATCCAGAGGATTAGGGAAGAGCTTTAATTGCACTAATTCATAAAAAAAGGAAGTAAAACAGAATGCAGTAATTATAGAGGAATCTCACTCCTCAGTGTAACAGCTAAAATTTATGCCAGAATTATAGAAAAAAGGGCTGAATGTGATCTAGGAGAAGAACAGACAGGCTTTAGACCAAATAGATAATGCCGAGATCAAATATTTTCACTAAGGTAATTGACAGAGAAAGCATGGGAATATAACAAGAAACTCTTCTTGGGATTTGTTGACCTGGAGAAGGCATTTGATAGAGTGCTTAGAGGTTTACTTTTCGAAGTTCTTAAGAAATATGGCATCAAGCATACTCTACTCAGGGGATGGGACATCTTGTATATTGTAACTAATGTATACAATTAACATAAACGAGCACAGAAAATTATCTAGCTCCATATGTAATGGTAATAACAACAAATTAAAACAGATGAAATTGCAATAATTTATTATCATAATTAAAGAGTTACAAAATATAATAATTAAAAAGTGAATATATACAATATCTTGCATACGTATTATTCACAGAATAATTATTTTAAAAGATTTTTAAAATGTATTGTTAAAATTTTCGATTTTTTCATGCCTGAATGATTACAATTATTTTATTTGTATAAACCTTTATACAATTATCTAAGATACACTAAAGTTTACAAAAAAATGCATACAATCATTCTGTATCAAAATATTTCTACATGTATAAACACGTTGAGATCATGGAAAGCCAAACCAGGGCATGGGCACCATGGCATAAAGATAATTACATATATATATAAATTTTTAAAACGCCACATTATACATCAAAAACTTCACATAATTTATAAAGAGTATTAATATTCTATAAGGTTTTTCACTACTTCCAAACAGGATTCTGAAAAGTAAAGCAATGTTGAAAGCTACCTTTTAGCAATTTTTCTATACAAATTATCTAAAAATTTACCTTTTTCAAAGCTTTCTTCTGAGCTGAATTTATCCTTTGTAACTTCAGCCTAGAATTAAGCGGTGTTCTTTTATTTTGAGAAAGCTTGCTACAGTTTTCGGTAGCTGACTTCCGATGTCTCTCTGTTCTCGAATTTGCAAAGTGAGATTTTCTTAACATACCTAAATCGACTAAATAAGAATTTTTAAGGTTATAATTTTTTTTTTTTTTTTAAACTCATACTATAAAATTTTTTAGAAATAATACCTTTCAAATTGTTTTGATAAACTTTATCCAAAATTGGAAATCCTGTTGATACTTGTTTGTTAGAGTTTGACTTCATGGAAATATTTCTGTTTTGTTGTTTATGTAAAGAATTAGATAAAACCCTAACATTTCCTTTAGATTTCTGTGCACTAGGAAATCTGGGAATTCTGTCTGGTGTATTTTGCAAATCTTCCAGCACTTGTCTTTGTTCTGGTTCTAAGGTAAAAAGTTTTTTTTATAAGTCATACCCTAATTCAATGTTTCATTAATTTTCTACAATATATAGCATGCCAGAAGTATGTAAATATGGGTTTTGAAACTGAATCAGGATATATATATTATATTGTTTACAAATATAGAATATTTTACTTCTCCATAACAGATTACATGTTTTTAATCTGAGGATTAAAGAATTAATTTTATTGATATAAAATTACAGACATAAAGCCTTCACATGCAGTTATGGAAATGATAGTCGACAAAAATCTAAGTAATTTCAATGAAAATAACTATCTCAGCAGGTAAAATTAAAATAAACACATTTACGGAAAGAACTAAAGTAGGTTGTATCCCCACTTCCTCAGCGGTTTACTTACAACTAAATTAAACACCAGAACACATGCCGAGCTTACTGCAATTTAATATTCAAATGCTTTCAGCCTATTCTTATAGGCCATCCTTGGGAATTTATTGTTCCACAAACATAAATTTTTCGAATACTCGTGAAATTTAAAGTTTTCAAAAATTTTTAAAAATTATTACATTGAACGGTTAAATATTAAATAAACAACAAATTACTAATACATTATATAACCAAACAAATGTAAAAATGAAATACTATATCGAAAATACATTAAACTAGTTAAAGCATAACTGCCATATCTTTTTACGGGTTTTTAACTCCCATTTCTTTTTCTATTATGTATTTCCAGGCCGTTGGGAGAGCATTTGCGTTTTTTGCAATTATTGTTCACTTATCCTTATATATTTCTATCATCTCCATACCTAATGCAATCGTCGGAGAATGGACTGTATTAACTATTCTCCGACAATTGCATTAGTTATGGAGAAGATAGAAATATATAAGGATAAGTGAACAATAATTGCTTAAATGCAAAAGACGCTTCGTTTGTTGAAGTTGGTGGCAGATATAAGCCCCCTCCAAAAAATAATAGGTAGCACTTCATCGGGAGATTCTTTGAGTCGAGGTCTCTTTTGGTAAGGAACAAAAAACTGATCTAAAGTTGATTGTCTTACTCTTTTAATCAAAATTTTTCTCAAATGTAATAGCACATTGTCATTTTCTATTGCAACTATCACTTTTCTCTTTCTTGGATGCCATATTGATTAAATATATAAATCACAAAACTGAAAAAAGTTTAGCACAAACACTCGGAAAAGCAATGCTTAACTCACGCATGCCTATCAGCAACTATGAGGGCAAAGTGAAAAGTTCTCGGCCTAGTAGTGAAAAAATGAGTGTTTTATTTTAAAAATGCATTTATTTCTCAATGTAGTTCAAATTTTTCCCTTTAGTTAAACACACTTTGTCCAACATTTCTCCAATAAATGGATTCTGTTCCTGAAGTGCAATTCTGGAAGATCTTCAAAACATCCATTTACTGCTGCTATCATCTTTTCACTTGACTCAAAACATTTTCCAGCCAAAAATTTCTTAAGATTGGAATAGATGAAAGTCAGAGGGAGCCAAATCTGGCAAATAGGGAGATGTTCCAACAATTCATACTTCAGATTCCTCAATTTTCCCATTGCCAAAGTGCCTATATGAGAAGGTGAAAGAGGATTTTTCTTTTTGAATTTTCTAATGGTAGCTGTATTATATGTTAAATAGGTAAATGTCTCTTCAATCCGAACAAATTTTCGGTAGACTTTCTCACAGCTCTAAAAAAACAATAAAGGAGTTTTATAACCTGTAGAGCTGTGAGAAAGTCTACCGAAAATTTGTTCGGATTGAAGAAACATTTACCTATTCAGGCCTTTTCTCTATAATCTTTTTTCTAGTTGGCCATGATGTGCGTAGTATTCCACATTAATTGTTTGACCCTTTGACAGGTAGTCAATTAAAAGAATCCCTTTGGAATCCCAAAAAACACTAGCCATAACCTTTCCAGCTGATACAATTCTCTTTGCTTTCTTCGGTAGAGCCACCAGGTTCTACCCACTGCTTGGACTGTTGTTTTGACTCAGGTGTAAAGTGGTGAACTATGTTTCATCCATCGTAACAAATCTGTGCAGAAAATCAGTTGCATCCTTCTTAAAATGGCACAAATATTGCTGAGAAAGTCGATTCCTCATTTGTTTGTGATCAGCATTTAAATGCACCCCCATCTTGCACAATGCTTTCTCATACTGAGTTCTCGTGTAAAATGTACCATACCCTTTCTTCTGAGATTCCTACAGCCTTAGCTATCGATTAGCTAATCGGTCATCTAGAACCATATTGTGTATCTTCTTGATATTTTCTTCAATAGTTGTAGTTTTTGGCCATCCTTCACGTGGATCATCTTCAATCGATGTACGATTAAACTTAGCTGCCCATTTTTTTTACTGTTGATAATGAAAGTGCAGACTAGTTATACACTTTTACCAACTTTGGATGAATTTCTGTTGGCAATAAACCATCCAAAACAAAGAATTTTATAACAAAACAGTATTCAAGTTTATTCATTTTGTTAAAAGCACACAAAACACTTACTTTAAACAGCTGTATAAAACAAACTATTTGTCTGATCAAATTCATATTTGGTATTTACTTTTGCAACAAGTTTGCCACCATAAAAAAAACATTAATGTCATTTGTAGCAGTGCCATCTATGGGCTAGACCAAGAACTTTTCACCTTGCCCTTGTAAAATTTGACACAAAAAAACCATTACATTTGTTATCCAATTTCGTCCATTATCCGAGACAAAATTTTTGTAAAATAAAAGTTGGTAACCAATTTGGTTGTTAACCAGGGTTCCACTGTATTGCTACCTATTTGTATAAAATGCTGTAATAAAGGCATCATATATATTAAAACATTAAAAAAAGAAAATGTAAGCTACAGACTACATGTAAATACAAATATTGGCATTCCTATCAGGCATTAGAACTATGCCAATATCATTTATTTAATAAATACAGTGGGTGATCGGTTAAAGAACAGAATCCGTTCCAAGACTTTGCTATCTGAATTGTTCGTTAACTGATTATCAATTTACCATAGGTTTTTATGGGAATTTGATCAATCCATTCTGGAGACTCCCCCAAAGATAAAAAATTATAAACTTTCTTACTATGTTTATTTATAAATAATAATAAAAATACATATATACACAGTATTGCATTTTTATTAGTCATGTTTTTTCTGTTTGTGGGTTAAAGAATCTGTCTAATATCGATTGCTTTTCTCTCTTCAGAATTTTTCAGAAGTAATTAATAGCATGTAACTGTAGAGATCCCCAAGCCTATTATCCTTCAATCTGCTTTGGATGCAATTCTAAGATCGTTGTTCTGACATCCTCCCACTACTTCAATAACAGATGTCTGCATTAATCCTCTTCTTCAGAAGAAAACATATCTCACAAGAGTTCTTGGCATTCTTCTGTCGTCAGATCAGTTTCAGGTTTCATTATGAGCTCTTTAATGTTCTTTATTTCTCAGATGTGATTTTTGTTACTCCTTTAGCTGCTTGAGTCTTCTTGATTAAACAGTATCTTTCTTAGATCAATCAGTAGGCCGCAGTTCAATCTTAGATAAGATTGAACTGCGGCCTACTGTAGACCTGTTCAAGCCATACTGCCTAGCAACATCAGACATCATCTTCCCACCTCTACCTTTGCTATTATACTCTCACCTTTTGAAAAATAAAAACCGACACAAAATTTAAGGAGTGCCTGCCCGACACTCTCACGAATACTATAAAAGAATTGTTTCTGTCAGAAAAATAAAATTCTGGAATTACAAGGGAAAGTTTCAAAGTTCGGAGGAATACTATCCAATCAGTATATACTGGGTTGAGCGTCAATGTCTCACACGCTCCAAAAAGTTTCAAATTGCTGCCTGAAGACAAGGGAAGATCAAATGGTATTCATTATTTTACATTGCTTCTTATTGTGTTTGTTCTATGAGGTGTTTGTTGACCGAACATAAAAATGTTTCGCGAAAGTGTTCGTTATCGGATTTGTTCATTAACCAATCACCCACTGTATATGAATTATTTCATACATGAAACTAATCATTTCCTTTGGCTTATCAATTAATGCTTTATTCATCTCAAAAGTGACAATTCTTAGAATCTTATTTGATTTTGATTCTTTGCAAATACAAAAACCTGCTCATTGAGTCCAGTGTAATAAGAGGATGAGAGGCAATTGACATAGAAACAATTTACATGTGATGAAATTCAAGCATTAATCCAAAGAAACTCATAATAAATGATATTAACTTGAATGAAACAAAAATTCAAACCATTAATTTATATTATATTAATAATTCATCTACTTCTAAACAATTTATAGAAAATTTAAGGTTATCAATATCAATTTCTTTAAGTTTTAAAATGAACTTTAGTATATGTAACATATACTGTGGGCACAATTAGTAATTAGGCTTTTAACAACAAATCTAATTTTAATGTATTCTTACATTGCATGAATTCTCATCTGTATGTTCTTCCTGAATGTAACTCTTAGTAAATTGCACTGATTCATTAACATTTCATTACACTTTTTCTTATTCTGAGAACTCAAACTTCTACAAGTCTTAATAGTCTTTTTATGTAGATAGACACTAGTTGTTCGGTATTAGTGCAATGGATTATTTTGTTTACAATTATGGCCCAGTGAAAGTAAATTATGCACATGTGTTTTCCTATGACTATGTGTAGTATACAGGTATACCTCGACTTACGTCGTTTCGAGTTACATCGTTCCCGATTATACGTCGTTTGTAAAAAAAGTAAACGAAAAAATAAAAATCAAGTTTAAGTCATTTTATTCGACTTTACGTCCGTCCGCCACAAATATTGAAGTCGTAATATCACTAGAAAAGCGTTTAAAGCACATAAAATCATATTAAAATATATACATTTACAAGTATGTACTGTATTTACAGTACAGTACATGCATTCGTAAATTTAGATTACTTTTTTCTGTACTCTATTAAAAACTAAAATTTATTTGTTTGTAAGCTTAAAATAGATTCTTATTAACCATATATTATTAAAAATGCATTAATAAATAAAATACAGAACTGGGAATAGTAATTTATGGTTTAGCCTAGTGACAAGTAGATTCGGAGACAAGTAAATTTGACTTAAGTCGTTTTCCTGGAACCAATTACCGACGTAAGGCGAGGTATACCTGTATTTGTATAGTAACTGATGTGTAATAATTTTTAATTGTTTATTATTTGGTTATGTTGATGTAAATAGTTTGCACATGCTAAAAACTTGCAACTGATGGTATGTTATGTAGATTCAAATATATAGTTTATCACTTTTTACAGGTTATCTGTAAGTTTGTGTATTTTAAAATGTGCTTTCTGTTTTTGTACTTAGACTTGGTTTTATTTAGTAATCATGATTCGTTCTGTCTCATTAAAAACACATCCATAAATGCACAAGTATTTTGCATTCAGTTACAAGCAGTTATATCAATATGATCCCGGTGGCTGGATGGCCAATCAGTAAGGCGACAACCTATTGCTCTGGTGACATATGATTCAAAACCCCATAAATTTTCAGAGGGCCATCTGAATATTTTGGTCCTATTCTCTCATCATACAGTTGTCCCATTGTGGGCCCTGCTCCATAATGGGCTTGTCAAAAAGCCTCTCTTAGTGCCCATAGAACAGAAAAAAAAAGAAATAAGATATTAGAATGCTTTCAGAGAATATGGATATGTGGTAAGAAACATCAACTCATACTGTTCATGATAAATTTTGAAGTTTAGGCTTTACTTGAACCAGATCCCCACAGTAATAGACTAATACATGCTCACCTGGCCAATAATTTTTAGCACATCAAATATTTAAATTTTCAAAATATTATCACAAATGACTTTGTTCTTTTTAAAACAGAGAAGTTTGTACATTTTAGATTAATTATTACCTCATTTTGATTTTATTCCAGTATCTCTATACATTAGAAAAAAACCAAATATTAATTGTGTTTATTACTTTTTAAAAGAATCTATTTTAAAATTTAATTTAAGTTATAGTTTTACTTACTTTGACAAGACGTACATGGTGAAATTTTAGCAGAAAAACTTAAATTTTGAACATTCTGAGGTGTAAAAGTACAATTTAGATACATTGCAGGTGATGCATTAAATGTTTGATTCTGACTGCATGTTGCATAAGGTGAGATTGCTGTAAAAGTTTCATTTACTTTTGACAAAGGAGTTGAGGGAAGTGCAGAAGCCAATTCAGAAACAATTTCTGCATTAAATGTTTGATTTAGTGAACGCTTGGCATGCCTTTCAGATCTTGTTTCAGATTCATCATCCTCTCGAAGTCTTTTCAATGCTGTAATAAACAAATAAGAATAGATTTTCAGATAATCTTTCAAACTTTTATTAAATAAAATTCATACTACCTGATGAATATTTGTTGACATAAGTAAAATTCATATTCATTTCTTTTGGAAGAGATAATGGTTTTAATGCATTTTCTGATGGATTGATTATATCTATTATATTTTCTAATTTGAATTCATCACTATCATCATCTTGATCTGCCCAAGCAACTCCTTTGATTCCCGTGGTCTAAAAACAACAATGTATTTTGTTTCATAAAATTAATTTTCTTCAGTCAAAAATGAAAATCAAATACTTACAGCTCGTATTACAGTATCATACTCAACTTGTAACTCAGATGTTGCAAAACCATGACTATTCAATAGCAAATGTTCGTGATGAAGAAGATTTAGAAGTTTGTTTAATAACCTAAAAATATTTTGCAATATTATTGAAATCTCAATTTATTATGTATTTTTTATAAATTAATAAATGTGAAGAACTGGCACATTAAGATTGTATTGCTGGCACAATTATGCCTGTTTTCAGCAAGTTTGACCTATAATAGATCAGTTAGTATGGATGAAGGAATGAGAAACATCCTGATTTATGGGTTTATTTATCATTCCTTACAGCAGTTTCAACCTTTATCTTAGATTAGTGTTTTCTAAAGGAGGTATGCAACATTTTCAGCTATGTACAACAGATGCATAAAAATCATTATTCAGAAAAGATAACAGAATTAAATTACTTTAAATATACAGGGTCTTCCAAAAAGAATGCATCATTATAAATTATTGTAATTTTGTTAATTATTATTCAAGATCATTGTAACATATATTAAAACAATGGAAAACTGTCCAAGTTTCATATTTTTCCATTACACTTTCTCAGTGTGTCCATCTCATATCACACATACACATCCAACCAAGTCAAATTCTTCTTATGCTTGCTATAGCATAGAAAGTCAGTTGTCACTCCTCTCACAGCAGACACAATTCTACAGCTCATAGAGATTACTCACATTGCACAACAAACAATTTCAATTTTGTGAACTTTAGAACACAGGATGCCTTCTCTGTTGCAGAGTTGCCATTTATGTTTAAAGCTCTTCCTAGAGGTGTCAATATGTTTGAATGTAGATGGGAGAGGAAACTCAGATAGTATAAAATAGTAACATTCATTTTGGAAACCCTGTATAATTTATTGAAAAATATATACATTTTGTATGAATCTCTTACTCAAATTGTGATAAACACTACATCTAGATAGTTTGTAAAGTTTATTTTTGCCAAGTGGGCATTCAATACTTATAAAAATTTAAGAAAAATATACATTGATGTCAAAACTTTGAGAAACTCTTAAAACATGGCTGATTTTATAAAAAAAAAAAGTTTCAGACCTGTGGCATTTTGTAGATTCACTTTCTTGAAGCAAAATAAGCTCCTTAGAATGTTTTTCTTGTTGAGTAAGTTCTTCATTCCTCAATTGATGATGATAATGTTTTATATAATCAGAGACTTTCTGAAATTATTATTATTTATCAACACTAATTCATATTCAATTGTTGCTATTGATTAAAATTTTTACCTGAAACATTTCTTTATTATTAGATATCTTCATCACTTCTTTTTCCAGATCATCAAGAGCTTTAGTATTTACTTCCCATTCATGATCTAATTCTAATTTTTTAGTTCTAATATGATTTTGTTTATTCTGCAAGGATCGCAGTGAAGTATCAATCTTTGTGCAACTCTGAAATTATAATCATTTTTAATTAGGATAAATAACAATTGCATTCTTAATTTTAAAGCAATTAAAATTAATTTAAAATATTATTAATTAATATGTATAAGTTAATAACTTGTAAAAGTTTTTTTAACATTTTTATGATATAAAAAATAAATTCACCCTATTCAAATTATTATCATCAAAAGATAACAATGCTAGTCTTTCCATTCCAATCATTTTCCAATGCATTTTAGCCTAAAAAATAAAAATTATAATTCAAATTTTCATTTTTTAACACTAAATACAGTAGTAAAAATAAATGTAAATCACACAAATTTCACATTTGCATCACCTGTAATTGATGTAATAAAGCAATGTATTCTAAAATACTTTTCCTGAGTTTAATACGTTTGTTAAATATATTTTCAATTTTTTCTTTCCATTTATCCATTTCTGATGTAGAAACTGCTTGAATTTCTCCTTGATTTAACTTATCATCATATGTCTGAAGTTTTTCTTTCAGTCTTGTTATCTGTAAGAATATGAGTTAGTGTAATTTTTATATTAATAGTTAAACTTGTTTTGTTTTTATGTTTTCAAGCTGTTAATATATTACTAATCCTCATAAATATATTTAACACTTACCTCATCTCTTAAATCTTCTATAATTTTCACATATCTTGAAATGTGATTATCTACACTCATTATATTTTGTTTCAGCTATAAATAAAAATAATTTTTTCTGTCTTAGATATCTTAAATCATGTTCAAGATTTTTGACATTTATTGATGGAACAGCTGCAGAACAGCTTCAGAATTATTTATCTTCAAATCCATCCATAGAATCTATAAAAAATGTAAGAAAAGAATATTTGAAATCACAAATGAACTTTTTATTTTCT